TTTACATCATAAGATCTCAGGTCAGGGTACTGGCAAATTAAAGTTGACGAGGGCGACCGTGAGAAAACTGCGTTCGTGACGCCTAATGGGCTCTACGAATTTAAAGTGCTGCCTTTTGGTCTCTGTTCCACTCCCGCCACGTTTCAACGCATGATGGACACTGTACTAGCTGGACTAAAGTGGCAGGCGTGCCTTGTATACTTGGATGATGTCGTGTTTTCAAGCACGTTTGCCGAGCATCCTTTAAGGCTAAAAAGTGTCCTCACTGCAATAAGAAGAGCGAACCTTACTATCAAGCCTGAAAAGTGCTACTTCGGCTATCAGGAACTCAAGTTTCTCGGCCACGTGCTGAGCCCTGGGGGTGTTCGACCAGATCCGAAGAAGTTGGCTGCCTTTGCCGATTTCCCTCGTCCTGGAGACAAAAAGGCTGTTCAGCGATTCCTCAGACTCTGTGCGTACTATCGCCGTTTTGTCGAAGGATTTTCGAAAATTGCGGAACCTCTTACAAGACTGACACGGCCAGATGTACCTTTCGTATGGACGGAAGAACAACGACAAGCCTTCATAGAGCTGCGCAATCGACTGCAGACAGCTCCAGTGCTGGCACATTTCGACGACACTGCCGACACCGAGATCCACACAGATGCCAGCAACGTAGGAATCAGAGCCATTCTAGTTCAATGGCAGAACGGCGCAGAGCGTGTGATCGCTTACGCGAGCCGCAGTCTCACAAAAGCAGAGGCTAATTACTCTACCACCGAAAAAGAGTGCCTACCAGTCGTTTGGGCCAATAGGAAGTTTCGACCCTACCTATACGGCCGGCCATTTCGAGCGGTCAGTGACCACCATTCGCTCTGTTGGCTTGCCAATCTACAAAATCCATCAGGCCGCCTCGCCCGCTGGAGCCTCCGCCTTCAAGAGTACGACATAATGGTGGTCTACCAATCAGGACATAAGCATACAGATGCTGACTGCCTGTCTCGTGCTCCTATTTCCCGGACGTCATCCGACACTGAACAAGATTTACCGTTTCTTGGCATCGTCGATGTGGTGCGGATGGCTGAGCTTCAACATGAGGACACTGAGCTACTTCCTGTCATCCAGCATCTTCTAGGAGAAGACGTTATCGTTCCACGCCGGCTCTCACATGGTTTAACAACGTATTGCCTGCGGAACAATGTTCTCTACAAGAGAAATTTTGAGAGCAGCCAGGAGACTTTCCTCCTCGCCGTTCCAACGGCACTGCATAAGGAAGTTTTGCAGGCGTGCCACGACGATCGTTCGGCCGATCACTTAGGCTTTGCTAGAAAATTAGCGCGCATCAGACAGAAGTACTACTGGCCACAGCTGTATTCATTCATTCAGCGCTATGTCCGCACCTGCCGTGACTGTTAGAGGCGTAAAGTTCCACCCGCAAAGCCCGCCGGTTTCCTCCAACCTTTAGATCCACCTAGAGCACCATTTCAGCAAGTGGGAATGGACCTTCTTGGTCCTTTTCCTACGTCATCCTCAGAAAATAAGTGGATAATCATCGCAACCGATTATCTGACTCGCTATGCAGAAACCAAAGCTGTGCCTAAAGGAACTGCAGTTGAAGCCGCCAGATTTTTTGTCCACGACATTGTTTTGCGTCATGGTGCACCTGCTGTTCTCATAACCGATCGCGGAGCAGCATTTACGGCAGAGTTATTGCAACAAGTCACCAAGCTGACGCACACCAACCACCGGAAAACAACAGCTTATCATCTACAAACGAACGGCTTGACGGAGAGATTAAACAAAACACTGGCTGACATGCTATCTATGTATGTTGATGTAGAGCACAAAACGTGGGATAAAATTTTGCCGTACGCCACGTTTGCTTATAACACCACTGTGCAAGGGACCACAGACCTAACACCATTCGAGCTTGTTTATGGTCGTCGCGTCACAACACCGTTAGACGCTATGCTCCCCGTAGACCAGGACAACAGCGCAAAAGACAGCGTTGACGACTTCGTCGAGAAAGCCGAGGCAGCCCACCAGCTTGCACGGAACCGCAATCGCGCGCAGCAAGATATCGACGCTCTCCGTTACAACCAAGGCCGAAGGAACGTCCACTATCAACCAGGTGACTATGTATGGGTGTGGACACCAGTTCCGACACTCGTGGGCTTTCGGAGAAGCTATTGCGACGCTACTTTGGCCCTTACAAAGTTCTGCGCTGCCAAAGTGACGTGAATTACGAGGTAGTTCCCCAAAGCTCCGACACCAGTTTAAACCGAAGACGTCCACGTCCAGAAGTAGTCCATGTAGTACGGATGAAACCGTACCACGCCCGCGAGTTATAAACACTTAGAACTTTTTCCTTATTATCCAAAACAGCGTGGGCTTTTTTTTTTTTTCGTTGACGTGATCATTTTTTTTTTTTTTTTCATGGCCACCTCTAGCATCTCAGACAATCGACCAGGATGGTCACTCTTGAAAGGGGGGAATCGACGCAAGGTAGGCTGGCAACTAAAGTAGCTAGCCTTTGAGGAGGACGGCGAAGTAGTTCGGTGTGCGCGTGCTCTGGTGTTCGCGTTTCTGGCCCCTGGGTTACGAAAGTAAACGCCCTATTTTGTACCTGCGTACCTGTGTCTTTGTGATAATACGACTCCCACCCTGAAAAAACAGCGGAAAATTTTTTGAGAAAATCCATATATGTAGCTATGAAGTCACCTAACCCATCAAAGCCTGGATACTACTGGCATATTGACTAAGCTCCAAAGTTCCTGTATTTCTTATACAAGTTATATGCACAAAAATACGGTATCAGACACCATCTCTTCAGCCTGTAAAAATTTAAATTCATGACAGTCAACATGATCCACATAAAAACACTGCATAAGAGGAGGAAGAACAATTAACAGTACATATTTTTGCCTACATTGACCCCACAATTTTGTTACAACACTTCATTACAAGTATTTAGGTACACATGTTCAGGCTCATGACTCCTGCAATGGATGGTGCCAAGTGGGGCGACAAGATTGGGAACAAAATTCGCAGTTTTGTGGAAACTGTGAAGCAATAGCAAGTCTGGAATGTTTATGAATTAAAGGGGCCGTCTACCGCTTAGAAAAAAAATTCAATCGTGGCGCAAATGAGAATATCGTTTGTGCTAACGAGCCTGCTCTCGTTCCATAACAAAAAGAATATTAATTTGACGTTGAAAGTCGACAAAAAATCACGGCTAGCGTCACCCAACAGCGATGTGGTCAATTTACTGGCAAGACAAGAAGTCCTTGCAGGCACTGATTATGCCTAAAGAAAAAAAAAAAACATGTATAGATTGAAGTTGCATGTTACGCAATCGAGGCAGCTTTAGGTTGCACCAGAGAGTAATTTCTGCTTTTCTTTCAGACGCATTCAAAAAAATGCCTGGTGGCGTTACCGGGGATGTGTTTGCTTGCCTGCATGCAAACAGCGAAGAAACACAAGCATTGTGCTCACCGCCACTTAGAAGAACAACAAAAGATGCCTGCGTGCCTTAAATGACTACAAAGGTATTCGTTTTATTATTAAACAAAACTTGATGATGCCTGTGCAAAAACCGCACGAGGTTTCAATTTTCAACTTTCACTGGCAGTACAATTGTCATCACCTCCTATGACCAGTGTTGTGGACATTCATCGTCGTTTACCGTTCAAAATGGCAAGCTATTCATATCTACCACTTACCGTTGTTGAAGGGCATCTCGGGAGGGGGGGGGGGAGGAAACTATCGTGTTTTCAGCATTACCAGCAAGGTGGCGCAATGAGCGCACAGCGGCGCGCGTATTGGGGGGAACTGTCACGTTTTCAGCATTACCAGCAAGATGGCGCAATGGGCGCGCAACGGCGCGCGTTCTTATTTCTCACGTGTACTTTGCCCCTCAGAGTAGAGAAGGTGGATGCTCACCCACGCGCCCTTATCTCGCGGTGGAACGATCCTACACCTTAACTGGCGTTGGGCTTTTACTAAAACGTTCCTGTTTTAGTTACTGGGCACACAAAGGTCAGTGCAATCGTTTCACATTCTCTGTTTGCGAAAAGGGCATGCTTTTCAGACACAGCAAAATAACAACTGAGACGCTTATTCGCATTCATTTGTACCTGGGAGTACGTTTCGTGCATCATTTGTGCGTGAGAACTGCGGGGCACATTTCGATCTGCTTGCCATTCAGCGCGTGACCTTCCAATTTGTTGCTATTGCGTTCATTGCTTCACCTTTGCAGCAAAGCTGCGACTTTTATTGCGACACAAAACAGAAAAGCAGTGAAGGATGGTAGACAGTCCCTTTAAGGCCAGTAGCTCGCTCGTTTCGGATTTGACTAGGCATAACTCTACAAAACACCAGCAGGAGGGAATTTGGGCACTCCAAGGAGCAAAGCGTCTGTTGTTTCAAACATTAAGTAAACAATGAGAGCACCGCATGTAAGATGATATACGAGCCATTTAATGACATCTGTCGAGGCAGCGTGCAGACTGTGCCCTTTTGATCAAAGATCACAGGTTCTGCACAATAATGCAGCCCCCCCCCCACCCCCCTTTCGACACTCCTTTATGCTCCTTCACCCAACAAAATCAGTCCCAGCACATTTAATCTCTGATTGAGCTACACCCATCTGCAGCCTATGAAAGCTTTCGCTCACACACACAACGTATGACCTGCAGGGTGATTCTATTGATTTGGTGTTTGTACAGAACGAGACAGCAATGGTGGCAACAAAAGTGCACTTCTCTCGATCAAAATAAAGTTTACTCATCATCAAGTGTCCATAAACAGCAGACGCTCTGTAAAACATCAACCTCTTAAATCAAACTGCTGCTCAAGTGGGACAACTGCCTCTAATACGATCAATTTCGTACCTGAATCCTGTAACCCAGTTCATCTCTCAGTAATTAAAGCTTTTGCTAGACAAAACATATCTTTTGGTCCCTTTAGGTTCAGTTTAATCCGTGTCTGCTGTAATTGCAACTGCAATGAAATCAGCATACCAAGTCGAGCACAACAGGAGATGACGGTGTCACATCCGCAAACAGCGCTGGCCTTGGCGGGTAAGGGTGCTTGTCATCGTAAGGACCTGCCGAAAGAAGCTGAGAAAGAAGTTCTTATTGGTAAAGTCCTCTCCAAGACTACACAAAAGTGTCAAAATCTTAGTGGTGAACTAAAAAAAACAGCGGTTCTACTTATAGCGTAGATAATTAACTAAGCCAGTGAAAACATTCGAGCACTTTAAATATTTGAATGAATACTGCAGTATTAAAATTTCCTTCAATGCAAGCCAAAACCTTCCAAAATTTGGAAGTGTTTGAAATGAACAAATAGAGATGTTTTGCAGCATGCACTCTGGTTGGACAGGTGACATTATTACAGCAAGAATCCACTATACCCCCCCCCCCCCCTCCTCGTGAAACCATCTATTCAAAGAAAATACACTGTGCAGTGAAGCCACACTTTAGAAGCCACAGTGGTGAATCGATTGATATGATATGTGGGGTTTGACGTCACGAAACCACCATATGATTATGAGAGACGCCGTAATAGAGGGCTCTGGAAATTTCGACCACCTGGGGTTCTTTAACGTGCACCCAAATCTAAGCATACGAGCCTACAGCATTTCCGCCTCCATCGAAAAGGCAGCCGCTGCAGGCGGGGTTCGATCCCCCGACATGCGGGTCAACAGCCAAGTACCTCAGCCACAAGACCACCGCGGCGGGGCAAACACAGTGGTAGATTTTGGACAGTGTGCCAAATCCTTGAGAGCGCAACACCTAAAACGTAGCGATCCGGTCTATCAGGATCGACCATTTGTAGTATTTTTTTGGCAGTTTTTACACTAGAAAGTACAGCACTTCGTTCAGGGCACAAAAAGAATAAAGACAACACTTGTCACACTACAATTGTAGTAATACTGTGAATATACTCACAGCAATTAACAATGGACAACTGCACTAAGTATCATGGATTATTCACAAATTAAGGTAAGGCACACAAGCACAAGCGCAGGAGGTAAGAACCACACAGTTGCGTCATTCCATTTTCTGGTGTCCGTATTCGCACACCTTAACTCCTGTTACGTTGTACGCAGCAAATGCAGGCAAGAGAATCGTCCCATGCCAACCTCAGCGTCGGGCCGCTCCGCGTAGGCGACTTTCGGCGGCAGAGGCGCAGGTTCACCTTGGGCGAAGACGACGCTCATGTCGCTGGCTCGGTCGTTAGCCGCACCCACACGAAGTCGACGCAGCTCCTTCCTCAACAGAGGCATGAACTTTGCATACACGCACTCCTGAACAAACACTCGCACTCCGCACGCCTCCCCCTGAAAAGGACCAGAGTAAACCAGAGACGAGGTGGAATTAAAGGTTCGGACTTTTTACCCACAAAGACTGCGATACGACTATGAGCCATGGAGTAGTTGGGCACTCCAGATTGATTGTAACTATGTGCAGAATTCTCGAAAGCTTTCGCTACCACTAAAGAGTGCAGTCATTATGAGATTTTCTGAGCAAATAACTGATGACAAATGTACCAGTCATCAAAGAAAATTGGTCCACCACTGAACCAATAGCGACTACACTCGTAGTTGTGTTTCCCGACTTGACATAGCCATACTTATCCATGTTGAGCCATGTGCATATGGACTTTCATTATACTGCTGCTTTTCATCGCACTATCATTCACTGAAGCCACCTTTGAGTTATCTTTTCTCTGTAATGCAGTTCGTGAAATTAAAGAACACCAATGACTTAAAAGAATGGTACTTTTATTCACACAAAGAAAATAAATCTCGACAAATTTAGCAAAAAAATTTTTTGGTACATATTGCACAATCTTGTTCTTCTCTTTCTTTCTTTGAATATGGTAGCAAAAGGGCAAAAATGTAGATAGCATTGTGAGAGACTCTACCAGCACTACCACTTCACCCACCCTTCCACTGCTGTTGGCAAAGGACTGGCCGATGCCCGCCGCTGCAGAGTGCAAGTCGGCGCCCTCTAGCACCACGGCTATGGACCGGCCACAGCCCCAGTAGCTGGACAAGGACGTGGTAGACTTCAGTGCTAAGGACTGGCGAAGCTCCCTGCAGCGACTGTGCGAAGCCACCACGTGCACGTGTCCGACGTCGTCCATCCCGAGGATTCCCTCGAATGGTCCGACCAGCACATTGACCAGTCCCGGAGGAAGTCTGCCACGAGGCCGCATAATGAGGATGGATTAGGTGAACTGATCAATCTACAGAGTCTGTCTGCAAAGTAATGAAACTGGGTTCGCTATAAAGAACTTATCGATGAAAGTGGCACATGATTTAAATTCTTCTAAATGGTAATTGTCTGGGGGTTAATACACCATTTCCAATGAGGTTCCCATGTTGAGAGGGCTCTCGGAAAGTCTACTGCCGTGACCTCCTTCAGAGACTCTGCGATAACGCAATGGATGATGGGAGTACTGAAACAGCGACCTTTCTAGCGTCACGTAAGATTAGAGAAATGGTAGAAGTCTACAGCCGTGACAGTGCCCTGATGTGAATGTGGCACACTTGGAAGTTTGGCTTGGAAATAAGAATAAGTGAGCCATCTAAGCTCTAATCTCGATATAACGAACATGGATGTACCGAAATATGGATTCTAACAAATTAGCTATAATGTAGTCTCAGAATCAATACAGTTTAAAGAATTACCTTTATAACGAAGTTTCCTATGCAAGGCACTTATTTTCGTGTCAGATGCAACTTCATTATGATAAGGTTTGAATGCACAGGGGTGTGTATATCAAAGCTGTATCATGGCTGTAGAAGCCCAGGCATAAGTTGAACAAACAGTTGCCAGTTCCTTGATTTCAAAAGAAGCCAGAAAAGTTAATGTTAATGCATCTACAAGTGTATGCATTAGCACTATATCGTTAGTACACAGCCGTTCTCTGCATAAAAACGTATACTCACATGCATTTCAACACTGTACCATTGCGCACCTATTTTTCATGAAGCACTGTACCATTGCGCACCTATTTTTCATGAAGCTAAAGTAATATCGACACAGAGATCAAACCACACGAGAAAATAGTGAAACATAAAATTTCAAAAAAAAAAAGGGCGAACAATGCATTAGCATGCCTTTTATAGCCCTACCTGAAAGCGAGGTTAAGTTCTTAGATAGCACGATATCTTAACTTTTATGCTGTTGGAGAGTACACCTGGGGTATATCAAGGTTCAGCTGACCTGCCGTTTTTTTGATCTAGTGTAATCAGATTAGTGCAGAGGTTGAAGTGTTCTTTTTTCGTTTTTTGTTTTCCAATAAATGTTCAGTTGCTAGTCAGCACTGTGGTTTGTTCCTTCTTCTCTTGTGTCTGCGTAATCATGTGCTGAGTTAATGATCTGTCACTGTATCGAGGTTGTAAGATACTGTGGTGCAAACAAAAACAAACACCCACTGTAATACATTAAAACCTCGATAACAAAATATCAGTTATAATGAAGTAAATTAAGATCACTCTTGCAATAGATATAGCGTTAGAAATACAGTCGATCCCCGCTACAATAAATACCACTTGAACTAAATTTCCATTCTCGCCGCAACAGTGACACTTTTTATTCTGCCGTTCCGCTTCAACGAAATTTGACAATGCAATTTTAGACTCACATATTTGATGCCATGCAGTAAACACAATCTAGCATTTTCATGCATTTTCAGCACATGAAAATCTACGAAAATCTACTAAGTCTAAAATGTGTGCTGACACCACTAGAAACTGCCACCGTTTATTAAACATGGAGGCCGCCATTGCTTGATAGCGATGACAATGAGACAGGCCTGGTTTTGCCACTTGCTTGCTTTTGGGCCGCAAACAATCCGAAGCTGAAGCTTAGTTTCCTACACGCTGCTGCTGAGAGCAATCACATGATGCCTTTTCCGATGCCAGTGCTTTTGGTTATTTTCGCGCTTGGCCAATATGCTCACTGATCAGACTGGCTGTTCACATGTGTTATCAACAACATAAGACAACTGCTACTAGAGGATGATAAGAATAGCATACAGTAAGGGATAAATCACCGCTCCATATACCACCGATAGATCTTGGTGTTGTCGGATACCCTTTGATGGGGGGACAGCCCTGGTGTTAGCGTGTTAGGGCAACTGTTAGGTTCGTTCAGGAAAGCTGTCGTGGCCATTCTTTCAGCATGCTTTTCAACATGGTGACGCTATCAATGTGTGAGAATCGCGTCAACGCAGCTGGGGAAAAAGTGGAAGCGGCTGTCGCTTTGCAAATTTTCAAAGTTTCTTCATTTTGCTAAGTCAGGTCGACCATATTTTTTTTCGATTTCACTTCAATAAAACTTTTGCTGCAACGAAACTTTTTCCATGCCCAGTTCATTTCGATGTAGTGGGGTACGACTGTATATCTTTATAACAAAAATTTTGATTATAATGAGCTTATTTCCATTTAAGATGCAACTCTGTCATACACTCAAAGCTAGACACAACGAATGCAGATGCAATGAAATATTGGTTCTAACAAAGTAAACGAAAGATCATATGGCAATCGATACAGTGCTAGGAATAACCTTTGTAACAAATTTTCGGATATAACAAACTTCTTTCCTTGTAAGATGCAACTTTGTTATAAAAAAGAGGTTCGAGCGTAGAGACAAGTGATACGGAGAAGCTCACCCCCCGGCGGCACACATTTCGGCGTAGTGCATTGGCGCAAGACTGCATTCACTTTTGGCGATTATGAGCAGCGAGTTGCCAGCAGCCAGTATCTCGCCAACGCGCCACGCTGACACGGGGCAGGTCGCACGGACGTCTTCCAACAGCACCACGACAACACCTGGGTCACACCCCCCACTCATTGAGGAAACCAGAAGCAATTTGAATCAAAGTGTTAAAAAGGGGTAACACATAGCCACCGTACAATTTTCAATCTTTAGAGAAAAATTGAAGTAGAGGGCCTCTATTTTGCCTACACATAAAAAAAACTGGATGGCAAAAGATTACCGCATTTACTCCCGTAATGAACGAACTCGCATAATAAACACACTCACAACTTCAGTCGTCAAAATTTGTATTTTTCCCCCTCGCATAATAAATACATCCCCTACATTCATCCACCGCCACCTCGGATCGCTCCCTCCCCCCCTTTTGCCTGCTGCTGCGAGCTGTAGTGTTTTTATATTTATCTGTGCGTGACATGTCTTATTAATTATCTGTGCACCACAGCACGGTTCACAAACGGTGCGAATGTAGAGACATGGCAGCTTACAAACACACAGCGAGCGTAGGTCACGATACTGCCCGCACCAACCGACAGTCGCTTCCTGCAATTGCCAAACTTTAAGGCCCAACCACATGCACGCGATTTTTTGAGCAACAACGACTGGATTCGCTGTCACCAAGGTTGTCGCGAGGGGTCGTTTTTCGCCATCGTGTCGCAGGTTTTTGGAAAACCAACAAAAAAATCGCTCGTCGCTCAGAAAATATTGTGAAGATTTCCGTGAAATGGTAGTACCCCTGATTCTTGCTTTGGTTGCAATTTACTCTCAGTGCTTGTTATCCATGTGTACTTCAAGAAACGCAAGACATAGGCTATGTTTTCCACAGTAACTTCTCATTTTCATTTCATTTCATTTATTCCACCTTAAAGGCCCGGAGGCATTACATAAGGGGGGGCGGCGTACAAGGTATGTCGAACAACTCAACAAAACTCGAAGGGTTCCAAAACGTAAACATTCAAAGAACAATGAAAAAAAAAAAGGTACAATATGCAAAGTAAAACGCCAATATTACCAAATGCAAATAAAAAAGTAATGGTACAAAGGTAAGCTTCCAGAGAAAAGTGACGACAGTTTATACATTAGTTAAAAAAAAGTATTTAAACATTGGCAGGGAAAACAGCACATTCAGTTAGATTGCGACATGTGACATTTTAGCTTACTGCGGAAAATTTGGCGGTTATTACACGTGACTATATTATCAGGTAGTTTATTCCACAGTGTTATCCCATTGGGAAAGAAGGAAGTAATCATTGCAGAAGTGTGTCCATTTATTGGTGCGATAGGGTGACTGTGGTTTATGCGGGATGAAGTTCTGTGTGATGGTTGAAGGAGGACGTGCCGTGATTGAGGGTGATAATAGAAAGCATGCATCAGACACAATCGAGAAATGATACGACGAGATTCGAGGGACGGCAGTTTCAATGATTCTTTTAGTGCAGTAACGCTGATATCGTTAGAGTATTGGGAGTAAATAAAACGGGCAGCGCGGTTCTGAATCCTTTCTAAATCGTTAGTTAGATATGTTTGTGAGGGTTGCCAAATTGAGCAAGCGTATTCTAGTTTCGGTCGGACGTACGTTTCATAAGCTAATTTTTTAATGTCTGGTGAGGCTAATTTTAGGTTGCGGCGCAGGTATCCGAGAGTGCGTGAAGCTTCTGAACAGATTATTTGAATATGGGTTGACCAGGATAGCGACGATGACAGATGCACTCCGAGGTATTTGTATGATAGGGTAGGGCTAATGGGAACAGACTTTATGCTATAGGTAAATTTTTCTGGGCTCTTTTTGCGGGTGAATGACATAATTTTACACTTAGTTAGGTTTAACGGCATTAGTGACTTATCACACCAAGTTACAATTAAATTTAAATCATGTTGAAGTTTAATGCTGTCGTCTGGTGTACAGATTGGAGAGTATAAAACGCAGTCATCGGCAAAAAGTCTTAATTTGGTTAGCACATTGGTGGGTAAGTCATTTATGTATATTAGAAAAAGGAGCGGGGAGAGACAGGCACCTTGGGGGACGCCGGACGTTACGTCGGAAAGAGGTGAGTCGTGGTCATTAGCGCTGGTGAACTGCTTACGGTTTTTTAGAAAATTTTCTATCCAGAAAATTATGTTGGGAGGGATTCCAAGGTGCATAGTTTAGAGAGTAAGAGGTTATGAGGAACACGGTCGAATGCTTTAGAGAAATCTAAAAATATGGCGTCAGTTTGAAGATTTTCATCCATGAAGTGAAGAATATCATGTGTGAATTCGGCCAGTTGTGTTTCGCATGATAGTTGTTTCCGGAAACCATGTTGGTGATCGAAGAAAAAATTTGATGGATTCCAGATATGTCATTAGGTTTGAAGCTATAATATGTTCGAGCATTTTAGATGGGATGCTGGTTAAGGAAATAGGTCGGTAGTTAGCTGGGATTGCGCGGTTGCCTGATTTAAAGATGGGAATAACCTGAGCTTTCTTCCAATCGTCTGGGACGTTTCCTGTTTGTAATGATTGTGTGAAGATTAGGCAAAGTATTTGGCTTGAGACAGAAACGGTATTTTTTAGTAATTTACTGTTAATACTGTCGCAGCCCGCCGAGGATGAAACTTTAAGATTGTTAATGAGTAGGAATATTCCTTCTGGGGTAATTTCAATTTCTGGCATCGCTACAGCTGCAGATTCGGGCAGTGTTACGGTATCAGTGGTGTTGGCAGAGGAAAACACAGACGTAAAGTGGTCATTTAAAGCAGAAGCGCACTGGTCAGCGTGTATTGGTTCTCCGTCAGCGTTAGTGAGGCTTATTCGATTAGATTGTGACTTGGGGGACAGCATGCGCCAAAATTTGCTGGGATTTGATTGAAGAATTGATAGTAGGTCATGGGAAAAGAATTTGATTTTTGCAGCTTTTAGTTCGGTTAAGTACTGATTAGCGCACGCGCGGTAGCGCTCCCACGCAGTTGAACTTTGGCTTAGGCGGGCCGTTCTGTACAAGCGTTTCTTTCGGTTACAGAGTAATTTTAGCTGTTTGTTAAACCATTGGCAGTTTGAATCTGATTAATGAGGTAGAAGGAATGTATTTGTTTCTGAGGTTAAGCATTGTAGTCTTAAAAAGTTCCCAGTTACAGTTGACACTTCGTTTTAGGTGCGTATTCCTAAAGTTTTCTAAGAAGTTGGCGAGTTCGTGATTAATCGCATCAAAATTTGCTCTCTTGTAATCCGTGATTACCTTCCGTGTGGGTGATTTCTTTTTAAGCGGGGAGGCGATGCAAATATGGATTAGGTTGTGGTCACTAAGACCAGGGAGCGTATTAATGGTTTTTATGTCGTCAGGGCTCGAAGTTAGCAGGAGGTCTAGTATGTTATTGCCCTGGTAGGGCACGTAATAGCCTGGTGAAGGTTAAAATCAAGGGCAGTGTTTAAAAATTGTTGCTCTTTAGATGATGTCCCATTCGACGCTGAAAGCAACGACCAACTGATTGAAGGATAATTGAAGTCCCCAAACAAAAATATAGGTGCATTAGAATGTTTATTTGTAATGGTGTGGAGGGATTGATGAAGTAGGTCGCAGAAGTCGGGGTGGCTGTCTGGCGGCCTATAGCAGACGCCAAAAACGAATTTCGAGGCTCCGTTGGAGACAAGAACCCAGATTAATTCTATTTTATCGTCATGGAAAATAAGTGAGGATGCTAGAGTGTTTTTAATAGCTATGAGCACGCCACCTCCTTTCTTACTTTTGCGATCCCGGCGAAAAATTGTAAAATTTAAATTGGATGGAAACACTTCCGTATCTGTGACGTCATCATGCAACCATGTTTCAGTTAGATGGGCACAAGCTTTGCCCGTACCTCATATTTAAATGGAAGACAATCCCGAAAGGAATCGTTTTTTCGAGTGGTGTGATCGTGCGGGCCAGCGAAAAAAAATGGGTGCGCGTTGCAATCGATGTCTTGCGGTTTTTTTTTTTTTTCTCGGTGGAAATCGGGTGCGCGTTACAATCGAGGGCGCGGTAGAATCGAGTAAATACGGTAGTTCCACGAACCTGACCTTCGAGCTCAGTCAAGGTTCTGCCAATGTCTCCGAGATGTAGTAGCGTCGCTGAAAATTGTTCACGCATTGCCAGCAAAAAGGCGCATGTTCTCACCAAAACAGTCACAGACCGTTTTTCCAGTCAGTCACTGGCACATATGGTATTTCAAAATCTTCTGCAAAGGGGAAGGGGGCGCTGGTTCGGGTAGGTTTGTTACTCAGGGTGTTACAAGTAATTTACACAGTTAAAAGAGACACGAAGGCAACTATTAAGCAGACGTTGATTGTTGAAATAGCGGTTCAGAAAACCTTGTTGTTCACTTCTGTGCCAAGACGTGTTTATTTTGAAAAACAAAATTACGTTTTGAATGGTGTGCATCGGTTAGCGCACTTCAAATACCTGCCTCAAGTATAATGTCTCATTCAATGTTACAGTGCAAAACGTTGCCCCCGCTTTACTGCACGACCGCCGGCACTAGTAGCCAGCAGAACGAAAGCAGCGGGAGCCACAGCAGCAAGTACGGCCATTGATCAATTTCCTGCCATTGCCTCCTAGATGGCAGACGTCCTTTTGGTCAACTAGGCCCCACTACATGGCAAGACCTGTCCTGTTTAACCAGGCGAAAATTGAACTTTTGAACCACTTGTGCCATTCCCCATAGTGTCATCCGTCGGCTCCTTTTCCACGAATCAAGCAGAAACGAACAAGCAGCATTTTATTACGTCTCTTGATGCAAGGAAGGTTCTTTATTTAGCGCAGTAAGATCGATTACAAGTGATTAACTCTAGGCAGTTCGTCTCACGTTATCGGGATCATTTCCCAAATGTCCTACTGCGGCGCACGTATTTTTGTGCATTTACCTTAATTTCTCGGCTAGTCGGCTACTGCTGTTGTTAATAGTCGTTTTACCGTCATACCTTGAGCTTTCACTCTCACGTAAATTGTTATTGGACTTTAGTGTCCTTTAAGTGCACAGAGAACACACTTACAACCTATTTGATCTCCATTTTTCTGCGAGTTTAGTTGCAGACGCGATTAACATGCTAACATGGGTGGTTATATGTGAGCAAGCACAGTACGCAAAGGTGAAAACGTTTACTCGTTGAAGTCGAGCTTTAGGAAACAAAGAGCGCCACGATAAACGAAGCACTACATTTTAGTGACTCACCCCTCGGCGTAGATTCCGGGAAGCGCTCATTGAGTGTCATGGCAACGCCCGCATAGTGGTACAGGTATCGCACCATCTGCGATGCCTCCTCCATGCAGACGGGTATGACCTTGCCCGACTGTAGGCTCTGCATCTCGCCAAATCTCGTCAGATGCTTCTGCATACTACGGGCCAGGCTGCAAGCATGATGATTGTCAGGAGGAGGAATCATTCAACGTGAAGAAAGGCTAGGTCACTTACAGTTAGCTTGCCCCTTGGCTAAACTGGTTCTCTATTATTCTCGGTGACAACTTTATTTGCTTCGAACTTCAACTTTTCTTTAAAGGGAAATCTACGTGGAGCTTCTGCACAGATGACTCTACAAGAAGTAGTGGGATTTGGCGCGCGTCTTCTGATGCTGTGGAAAGTGACGGGGGCGTGCCATCAGCGTTGATATAGACGCAGTCACTGCTTAAAGTTTGAGGAAGAGCTGGGACTGATCTTGCGCGTCCGAAAATGCTGAATGAATACAACTGTCTTGCTGGTGTGTGCTGTGTCCTGCCTCCAATAGCTCCATGTAGAAAATTAAGGAAGAACTTTAACATTTCACATTGAAAATATGGCTGCTACTGTGGAATTACATTCATTGGTAGTAGGATGCACACGATTCAGCTTTTCCTTCGCTTCAATGCCAAGAAAAGTTGTTGCCGAGTGTAGTACTATACAATATTTAAAAGGAGTCATGACACTTTCCTCCCCGTTATCTGTTCTGTGCTTCTTTTCTGTTTTCTTGAGAAGACACATGCATTAAAGAAACGCCTACATTGCACATCCATCATGTCAACTTGAATGCATGTGCTAGCCGCAGCCCTTATTATCCTATGGATTACTAGGAGCTACAGCAAAATGTACTATAACTAGTCTTGTTTCTTGAATGTAAGTATGTCACTTAAGAAAAACTGTCTTATTTGTACTCGATACTAAGACGAACTAGAGGATATGTCACTTAAGAAAAACTGTCTTTATTTGTACTCGATACTAAGACGAACTAGAGGATGAAGAACGTACGTGCCGGCTGAGTTATTCTGTAGTATGTGCTAGACACATCTTAGTTTTTCAGTTACATGACTGGGCTTAACAAAAAGCCTGAATAGCTCCGAAGTTGAAATATTGATGACACATTAGTGCCCATCCTGTGCGGTGTGTCACGTCTTAAATTACAAAACCTTAAGGAGTACTGACAAAAATTTTAAATATTTTTAGGTTGTAGCTTTAAATAAAAACACGGGTGTTGACAACTCTAAACTGAGTGTCGTGGTGCTTGGGAAAGTCACTGAATATATCTTTAGTACACCCCCCCCCCCCCCCAACACCTTAATACAGCAATTTCGGTTTCGGTGTCGAGAGAGTCGCTTCGCAGTGACGTGTCAAGACACGTCTGGCATCAAGGGAAAACTGGAACTCGCGGTGTACTAGCAACAACAGCCGGTTTGCTGTCAGTCACACATAGTTCACGTAAACAAGAATGAGTGAATAACAGTCCAGAGGCTCTGACAGCAATTGCTGTGATTTAGGCTGCATGCAGCATGAAACTCTGCCGGAGAGAAACGACAGATCACAGCACATCTTGTGGAACTGCATCAAACACCCAGAGAAAGAAAGATCAAGAAAAATCTTGTGGCAGCTCGAGGCAGCCGCAAAAAGCTACAAGAACAGCTCTGGGCCATCCAGCAGGTCCTCGGGACGCCTGAAAGGAAGGGACCCAGGGAGCCGGCGAGTGGAGACCCGTGCTGAGTAACGGCAACACCAAAGACGACGCAGGCCCCCGTCGGAGTGCGCGAGCGCCCAACTGCAGACAAAAATAAAGTTTATCCAATCTAATCAAACCCAGTAAACTGTGTTGACTTGTCGGGATAATGTCCATTACGGTGGGGCTAGCATGACGGTGAACTTTAAAAACCAAGTAAAATATTTACGTGTTGTCTGGCTCTAGTGTGCACAGAGTGTTGATAATGCACACCATGAAACTGAAAGATATCCCTTTTGTGGAGCCTCAGAATCATGTAAGAACTCCTTTAACTGTTGAGAAAACCACAGATGTGTCAAACTGGACTAACTTGTAGAGGTGGGTGCAGCGTGTGTACGGATCCATCTTCGCCCAGGCGACCTGTGCAGCCGTGGACGACTCCAGGGCCCGGCGGTAGAGTGCCTCATCCATACCCGCCACACGGGCTAGCACGGCATTGGTAGCAGGGCTTTTGACGGCAACAATATGGGCGTCACCTTTGTCAGCTAACAGCAGTTTTCCATCCACGAAACCACGCAGGTTGCCGCCCTGGGCCTCCAACCATTTCTGCGGGGAATTTCTTCAACATCAGATTATTATTCTTACTTGGAACTACTAGTTTCATTCGTATGCCACTAATAAGCAAATTTTCTGTTACTACAAGTTATGTACTTTCCTTTCTTTTTCTTATTCGAATTTAATGGACTGTGTTAGCAGGTAAACAATATTTATGTTATGATGATATCAAATTTGAATTGTTTAGTTCTGTTTAATTTGATTAGAAGTATTACAGTTTCTGTACATTTACTTCCAATGGGACCCGCACTAGCCTTTGGCTATAGGACCATTCGTTGTGCATAACCTGTATAAGATACGTGTGCAGTAAAGAACATTCACTCAATAATTATTTCACACCTGTGGCTAAAATCAAGTCCTTTCCAGCAATCCACAGCCATCCCTTTCTCGAGTCGACCGACACAACCTCGAGCCAGGAAGTTTGCGATTTTCGTCGCTTTCAGTTCAACTGAGCTCGCCTTACACGACTCAACATGGCATTAGAACAGGCTGCGATTGGTTCAGAATCTAGCTGCATGGTTCATTATGTCCCACCATGATGACTCGTCAAGCATCACTTATATCGAGATGTCTCTAGACTCGCAAAATCTGGTTGACAGACGCACATCTCCCCTGACTCTCGCTTGTTACATTCGGCTGCATTACTGTTTTCCTAGCTGCCTATTACTTTCTCCTGGCGCTTATTTCCGTCAACTGCTGAACTTCAGAAGCCCCCCCCCCCCCCCGCATGATTTTTTACGAGCAATCACTGTGTTGAACAAATCATTTCTTCCGGTAATCATCAGAGAATAAAATAACTCACTACAAGACATCATCGCAGAGCATGACTCGTGCAGATTTAATAAGCTGTTAAGGCTCACTCACACTCAGAACACATCAATACTCCGCCTATAGTGCTCTATTTTTGCACCACATGTAGTACAATATGTGCTAAGCTGTATACCCGAATTAAAGCGTTTACTACGTAAATGCGTTTACCAAGAATTTAATAGTAAGGCGTCTTTTAGACATAGTTTACTAATGCAGTCAGTGTACTGTTAAACTAAACCAATACCTTTACATTACTCTGAAACTGAAACCACAACCATCGCAGGAATTCCTGCTTCGGTCACCACCGGCGGCGATTCACTATTTTATTCGCATGCATTAGGTAATTTTTCATTCCATGTCGTACGTAACAAACTACAATTAAAAGCTACAGATCACATTCCCCAACTCACTTGAAGGTGGTCGCTCGTTGCCGACACATTTTCTAAACCACACTGTACTGTCACGGTGCTTGCGCGAGGTAACAAAAACTCAGCGGGTCTGAAAAACCGGTCGTTCGTCTGCAATCAAGGTCGGGCCGTCGAGATCCTCGATTATCACGGAGCGGCTGTACGCGAAGAGATAAGACCGGCGTGGCGGTCGCTTCGGCGTGCAGCCGTTTAGCGCGCATGTTACGCGCAAACCTCGCACTGTGCGGTAAGAATAAACACCTGGTTCTCTCACCTTGGCACAATCACACGGGTCCATCACCTTGTCGTACTGTGGACGCTCGAAAACGCTTCTAACGGTGACAGGGGTTGCACCGGCGAGTCCATTAGAAGACTTAGCGGCCATTTTCAAATGTATGTTCTGCGGGGTTTTTCTCTAACTAGCGCTGTTACAACTAGTGGTTCGTACAAAAACAATAACTGCAATTTCGCTCTAAAAGTACATTGATATTATAAATTTATATCTTTCTTTCTTTATGATATATAAAAAAGCGCAACATTTATGAAATTAAAAGTTTAGGACCGCACTTATGGTGGCCATCTTTCTAGGGGCATAATAAATTATCACCGTTCAGCGAATAAAAATGAAGCGTTTCCCTCGCACGCCCAACAAGTTTAATGTGGGAACTTTTTCTGGTCACATAGTGGTCCAAGTGCGTCTTACAGTTAACAGTTTTCCTTAGTGAGCCTCTAATTGGAGGCAAAGTTCTTTGAAGATTCAGTCATCTATACTCGTTTCTGTGTGTTATTTCGTCGGGAACAACTTTTAACATAGAACTGACGTTGCATTTATATAACAAATCAAAGCCACTTGATCTTTAAGTGGGCACCATCAGAAAATAGCATGTTTCCGCCATCTTGGCAGTGGCAAAAGACTGCTTCACTTCTGCTGGCAAGGCATTGATGGAGCTTCCACTCCAGCAATTTTTCTTTAATCCTCCTTGAATGGCACCAAGGAGGATACATAAAACTTCTTGAATGGCACCCGTCCTGGCAAACTTTGGCTGCTTTGGCTAGAGTGTACTAGAAGTGTACTTTGGTAATCTCACTAAATCAAGCAGCGAACAAATTATCAAGTGACACAGCTGGAAAGGCAGAATGATTCATCTTTCTATCCGTATCAGCGTTCGCTGTTGCACAAATTGTGTTGTGTGTAATGGGTTCCATAACGGCAAAGTGTACCCACAAAGCGGCACCATAGAAGTGTGGCGGCTTGGGCTAGTTGGTATGGCATGACGGTAGTTATAGCGCGAGAACAAACTGACGACACAGTGCCCTTCGTGTCCTTCTTGTCTCTGTGTCGTTTTGTTCTCGCGCTATAACTACCGGCGCCATATTGTTTGAGACTGAGGGAAGGTGAAAGCTTAGGCGCCAAGTTCAAATCACTTGCCCGCCAGTACCTTCCCCTCTCAAATCGTATCGTGTAAGGTAGTCCCAGGTGCAAAATAAAATAAATGAACCAGCTCAGAAAAGCTAGATAAACTTATAAAACCATCGCAAAAGCTCTCTGCGTTTTTGTCACGACGTTGATTTTGATAATAGTAATAATAAGGCAGGTTCCAAGCTTGAAGCAAGTGCAGAGCTGGTTAGCGTTCCTTGTTTCTCTTTACTTCAACAGCGGGGTTATTTAAGCAGGGCGTAATGTGCCCGCTGAATTCGAAAACTGTCGTCATCCCCAGCGAGTCTTTGTCCTCTCTATTTCGTCCGCTTCATTATGGCAGCTTAATTTTGGCCCGGCGAAAAGCGGGTGAAAGAAATAACGAGTATACAGGATGACAAAGAAAGACAATGAGAGAGACGAAAAGGTAGAAGGCGAGAAAACACACAGAGAGAGAGAGAGAGAGAGAGAGAGAGAGAGAGAGAGAGAGAGAGATTTAAAAAGAAAGAAAGACAGAGAGAAAAAAAGATACAAGGCAGCATTCAGAAAAATATATAGAAAAAAGAGGGAGAGCTATAGGTTAGCCACGGAAAAAAGCGTCTCTTTTTGTTTTAAAGCGTCTTTATTGGGGTCCGCATTTCTTCGAATTGATACAATATGCATCCTCCCTACCAGACGAGATTTCGTCACACCCTGGCTCTCAAGCGCAGCTATATGTAACGTATAGACTATTATTCGGAGTGATTTCAGTGCCACTATGTTAGGCTAGCTGTTAACATTTGTGATATAACCCTGTTTTAACAGCTAAGCGAACCGTGCGTACGGTGGACGCACACGCATGAAAACGATTGAGTTGGTGCACACGATATCTCGTGGCCTTACTATTTCGCGTCGCATTATAAAAAAAACACAAGAAAACATCCACTTATCAGCCCGAGATGGCGGCGTTTGCATACTGCACCCCGGCGATAAAGTGGGTGCGCAGCAAGGAAACGAGGAGGTGAGAGGGTTGAGTCAAGCACAGAGAAGTTTACAGAGGCGCTCCATACATAGCTTCCTCAATCTTTGTACCAATAGTGCGTATCTGCCCAAATAACGCGTTCGATGTTCTCGAACGCGTTATTCGGAGGTCGTAGGTTCGATTCCTGCTCACAGCAAGTTATTTTTCACCCTCTCTTCTTTCTTCTTATTTACTTTACATTGGTTCTAATAACTTCCTTTATACATTCCTTGGCATTATTGTCTGTTAGATCTTGTATATATATATATATATATATATATATATATATATATATATATATATATATATATATATATATATATATATATAATATATATATATATTTCTATTTTGCTTGCCTGCTTTCTCTTTCCATATTGTGCTATTTATTCCCTATCGGAAAAAAACGAATGGTGGGCACGGTGGAAACCACCACCCACCATTATAGTGGATTAATGGAGTGGGTGAATGGTGGGAAACGCCCACCATGGCGCATGGTGGGTATGGTGGGTGCTGCAGTGCCGGCAACGCTTGAGCGCGAAATGACGTCAGAATCACCGTGACGAGCTGCCACAAAAAATAAAAAAGAATTCTATAAAAACGGTATAAAAAACATATAGTGGTTTTGGGACGTTAAACCCCACATATCAATCAATCAAATCAATCTGTAGAATGGCTACCCCTACTTGATTGGCATCGCTACACTCGAGCACGCAGCGCATCTTGTGTATATTAGTCACAATGGAGCGTCCCATAATCCCGCATGTTCGGTGAGGCCCTACTAATTCTTTGATTACCCCTTGAAGTCTCCGTGCTAGTACTTTCATTAAAATTTTGTAATCACAGTTAGTTAGTGATATCGGTCTATACGAAGAAACTAACTTTAACTTCTCCGAGTGTTCTGTCTTAGGTACCAAAACTGTATGTGCCTCACTAAAGGACCTAGGGAGGACATTAAGTTTATAAGCTTGATTGAAGACATCTGCAAGTACTTGGGATAATTCATTTTTGAACTCCTTATAAAACGAAGCACTAAGCCCGTCCGGCCCTGGAGATTTACCAGGATTCATTTTATCTATAGCCCTTTCTACTTCCGTTGGCGTTATAGATAGCTCTAAAGCTGATTTGGTGTTATCTGACAACTTCGGCATTCTGCTAAGGAACTCCTGCTTAAATGCCTCTGAATCAATGGGCGTGGCAGCGAAGAGTCCTTCATAGTGTTTGCCAAACGCTCGTCCTATGCTCTCATTGTCTGAAACTTCGATACCGTCGACTTCAATGGCATCTATGTGATTTCGTCTGGCATGACTCTTCTCTAATCCAAGCGCTCGCTTCGTCGGGCGATCATCCACAGTCATTGATGTTGCTCTGGCTCGCACTAGCGCTCCGCGATAGCGTTCCTCCTCATATACCTCTATCCTCTGTTTGATACTCCACAAATCGTCACCATATACTCCAGGTTTTTCACATTCAAGAGCTGTTAGTCTCTCAAGTGTTCGTCTAAGCTCTTTCTCATTCTTCTTAGATTCAAAAGATAAAACGCTAGATCTCTCTATTGCTTTTATTTTGATTCGCTGCTTTAATAGCTCCCATTTTTCTCCTATTTTGTCCATACACTTTATGTTAATATTACTTATTTCTTTAATAACTGATGTGCTAAAGGACTCATCCCTTAAGAGGTTAGAGTTCATTTTCCACTGTTCCCAAGAAAAGGAGTTCCTTTCTTTTTTTGACCCAATATTGCATTTTACAAGACAGTGATCGGAAAAGGAAACAGGGACAACATTATAACTGCTACACTGGGATATCGCTTCTGCAGTAAGGTAAAGTCGATCCAATCGGGCATTACTTGTGCCTTGAAAGTGGGTATACTTCACATCTCGGGAGCTATGCAAACACTCCGCTACATCTACTAATTCGTGTTCAATAATCACCTGTGCCAGGACATCACTGCTTCTATCTTTAACATTGCGCCTGCTTGATCTATCACTTTCATTCAAGACACAGTTGGAATCACCCACCAATAAGAGTTTCCTACCGGTACGCATATGCTGTCGTAAATTGGAAAAAAAAGCCCGATCTTTCCTGGCCAATAGTTGGAGCATAAACACATATAATGCGCCATTCAGTGTCACAATAAACAATATCACACCATACTACTCGGCCTGAAGAGCACGAAAAGACATTTTCTATGACTAATCCTGGCAGTTTTCTAACAAAAAGAACACAACCCCCTGATGTGCCTATGGCCTGGCTCACAGTGGCAAAATACCGTGATGTAAACTTAAGCACCATGCTCCCAGTCTCCTCCTCGCCTTCAACTTTCGTCTCCTGCACTGCAAGCACATCCAGATTTTCTTCCAATAACAACCGGTAGACTTGGCTTTGCTTCTTCTTTGAAGCCAAGCCTCTAACATTCAGCGTGGCGAAGCTAAAGAATACTTGAGGCGCCATTACAACCATGTGGAGGAGTTAGGCCCGGAGCATGGCGCTTACCTTGCACGTCTAGCGCTACGCTAGACGCCTCCAGGACCGTCCGACCGCCCGGTTTCACTGCACAGTAGAATTGAATTGTTCACAGCTTTTTTGTCCGTGGTGCCACCAGCTCTTGCTCTCATGCTGGTGCGTCTGCCAGTCGGCGTCTTTGCCGGTGGTTCTTCCACGCTACTTGCACTGTTCTTGTCTCCCGTCTTCACAGGTTCTTCCAATGGTCTTTTAATGGCTGAAACGGCACCGCTGGGCCAAGAGACGCGGCTGGCGTTGCACGTGTTTCCGTCTATCTTCATGTCGAAACCAACGCCACAGGAGGCACCATCGACAACTTGGTCTTGCTCCGACGCATGGGCAGACGCTCCGGCTACTTCACAGCCTGCGTCTGTCACTGCATTGTCAGCTGTCTCGGTCGATACAGCTGCAGAATGGTCGAGTGTCCACAGGT